ATGGGTTCATTGATGCTCCTTGGAATGTAGTTTAAGTTCCTAAGCAAGTTAGTAAAATTTGGAACTCCTAAAACGAATCTTCACATTACATGAATCAGAACTCAGCTTGAGCTATCCCTTATTTGGTACAGCTAATGTCTCTGATACACCAAAAATAATTGCTATGATGGAGGATTATTGTTAACTCCTTAATGCCAATGTCAACTCCTTAATGCCACCCTTCTCCCTTCTCTTTTAATTTGTCTATTTGTCTTACTTTCAGTGCTCTTTATCGATCTTAAATTCTCAGGGTTTCTTGATCTTGGCAATGCAAGAAATAATAATTAAATTAGCTAAGAAATAAGACATAAAAATATTAAAAGTATTAAAGATAAGAGTTCCTATCATAGTGAAACTTAAAGTTTTGAGTTTATCTCTCTATAAATAAATGACTCTTATCATCAAGAAACGAGATGAGATAGGGCCAAAAGAAGAAGAGAGATTAGGATGAAAAGAGTCTTTGGTTTTGAAGTGTCTTTTGTGTTCTCCTCTATTTTGACTACTCAATGATTTCTTAATATTTATTATCTTTCTGTGAGATTCTTTCACCATGGTATTAGAGTCTTGAATATAATCTTATTAGAGAGATAAAATAAAGAGAGAAAATAGGTTTCTTAGAGAGAGAAAAAAATAAATCTATAACGAGAGAAAACATATCCTATTAGAGAGAGAAATAATATTGTTAGAGAGGAAAAATGATGTCGATAGAGAGAGAAATAGATAGAGAATCTCTAGAGAGATGCTTTGAGGAGAGAGAATATATACAAAGAAAATATGATGAGAGAGAAAATCATAGAGAAAAGAATCATTCGATGTTGACGATGAGCATATATGATTATAAAAGGAGATACCAAGATCAAGAAAGTAATCGATAAATTATACTAAGCGAAAGATGATTGATGAAAGAGATCATCGTGATGTTGATTAGTTGATAAAGAAATATCATCGGATTAAAAGTTTGAATGATGACTTTTATAATTTATTTGGATCTTATTATTACCGAGATTTGATAAAATAGATTACTATAGATGAAAAATTATGATGAAATTTTTTCATAGATAAGAAGATTTAAAAGAAATTATCATATATAGTTTTAAAGATAATATACATGATAGAGATTTCATATCGACTCTTCGATATAAAACAATATGAAGGTGCTTCTCTATGATTAGAGAGAATGAATCACTTTTGTGTTACAAGAAACTGATATAAAGATTATTATGATTGAGGACAAACATGTATTGTAAATTTTTTATTTTTAATTAAAATCTTTGAATTTTGTTTTGAAAGAAGAACAAACTTAGACTTATGTATTTTAAACACATCAATTATATCATTAGGTTAAATAGCTCAACAAAGTTAACGAGACAATCATTCTATCAAACCTAATCTTAATATCTAAAGTCACAAATATAGAGGGAGAACAATCACTAGGCTGACTGATTAGCAAATTTTATTGAAATTAATAGTTATGGCATTAATAGTGATGGATGGATTCCCTAAGTTTGGACTTTTGATTTCCTGTCATAGGAGAGAGGAGATGGATGCATAAACATGAGATAGTTATGCAATGTTTTTCTAGATTATGCATGTAAGCATGGTGTTCTAATGTTCATAATAAATCGAGGGTCATCCTGGTACAGAAATTTTAATAGCAAATATGTGGTGCAAGGGAGACCAAAATAAAGATAAAAGGCAGGATAATGACATATGCATTAAAACTCACCAAACCATATGTGTTGCATGCATCTGGAAATGTTTGATCAAAGTAACTTCCTACTAAATAGGTAGTGCTAAAAGAAAGCACACAGAAACTGTGTCTGGCCTAAATTATTCCACAAGAAAGCCCCAAATTAACAAAGTAAAATTTAAACAGTTTACAAGGTTTGATTTTTTTTTTATTAAGACAAATACTTTATGGTATTTATGACAAAATTGGAATAGGTAGTGAAAAAAAAAAG